TTCTGTAAATTAAAAGTACACTGTTTAAAACGTAGAGGAAGAGCAGGACATCATTTAATTTAACGACTTACCTTCACAATTCTAAATCATTAATAATTGGCTGATTATTACTATACTAGTGGAATGATGATATTGCAAATTTTAGCCAGAATAAAAAAAAATATGCCTTAAATTACTTTCGGAAGCACCCCACACATGAAAACGTAGTTACTTTCAAACGAATGAGAGCAGTAACAAAATGTAAAATCTTAGAATTGAAAAGATTGTGATAGATATAACAACGCAATAAGTCATAGGTGACGATCGGAAAGCAACAGAAAAATGGCAAAATAGGTGAATTGAAAAGTGATTCGAACTAATCAAGTGTGTTTATCCTTAAAATAGGCAGCATGCGATAAAAATCAAATAAATGAAATAAAGGCGATATTTATACAAACATCAAATGTTGCTTTGCAGAATGCAAGATGCTTTATAATCAAACGTGAAACAGCGTATAATCAAGAAACATGAAAAAGTATGTTTATAGACCTAAAAGAAGCACATGATAGCATCCCACAAAGCAATCGAAAGAACTACCAACAGGAAACAGTTCAAATCAAGATGGGACAGGTAGTGTCAAACGGCTTCCTCATCACTAACGGATTCAAGCAGGGGTGCTGCCTATTCACGACCCTGCTGAAAATATATCTCGAACAAGCACTAAAACAGTGGAAAAAAATGCAAAATTATGGATATTGCGCTAAATGAACTATTAGATCGTATCAATTTAAATGCCTCACCCGGTATATGTTGACTATTTTGTTGAACAAACCGGCCCTTCTCAAGAATATTCAATTCTCATTATCTTGCTTGATCAAGGAATGTAAAGGTTATGGTTATTCTAAAAAATGAATTAAAACTGGACCTACTTGACCAAGTTGTAGAAGAATCAAACATCATGTTCCGGTCAACGACGGAAAACTAGGTTTATTCACTGGGTTTATTATAGAGAAAATTAATAAAGGAGAAGACTGTCGCAAAAAAATGTTGGAGCCAAACGTGGGATCCTAGCCAAAAAATGTTACACAGTAGAAGTTGCAAAAGACCTTCGTGGAGGGAGTGATTTCCTAAGCCAATCCCTATGGAAGCTCTTGAAAAAAGTAAGAAGAGACCAATGGATACACTACGACACAATATACTAGCACAAGCAAAGCTTTTGGTGGATCATGAAACTATGAAGCATTTGAAATTACAGTGGAAGAGGATTGAACAGTATTTCAAATATGGCATTGCTGATGTTTCTTAAAAATGTAAAGTTGCAAATCGCCAATATAGTAAATGGAAAGAGAGCAGAATAAAGAATACTACGTTGCTATCATATGTCGAGAAGGCTTACAACTCCATGTGACAAGAAAGTCTATTCGCAAAGCTGATCGTAGACAAACTGGAATTAAACATAATTAGAGCTACGGCTCTTCCAAATCAAGATGGACGATAAAATTTCCGAACTAAAAACAATAAAAGAAGCTCTGCCAAAATGCAACGATGGTAACAAGCAAGCCGAAAGTATTTCAATTTGCAGATGTTAGTATGGCGATAAGCTCCAAACTGTAGAAAAGATTCGGGGCTGTAGCTTCGAAAACTGAAGTGATGCTTCATATGCTGAAAGGATTGGCTTAGACGTTGGAGAATTGGATTGAATACTCACAACAACCAAATACAACAAAAAAATTAGAGAAAAACCTTCCTAATAAATATTTCAAAGGTGATAGAGATAGCAAGGGCGATCACATACTTAAGTGTGATATTTAATGAGAAGTTGATTGCCAGTAAATATGCTGCGACGAGGTGAAATATAACAAAGAACTATATTTCGTGAATGAATACTTCGTGGTATGAAATAGTGAATTAGTCACGGTCACACCACAATAATGATAATGTGAAATTTGGAAAAAAGCTTAAAGGCAAGTCACGACCCGGATATAGTAACCATAGGATTACCGTCTCGATGATGATAGGATATTTATAGATTCCTAATCCCCATTAGCTAATTTCCCGTCGGGTACGTTTCAAACCACCAACCAACGCCATGATCGATAGACTTCAATTAATGTGTGTTTACATATTTACAATTATTGTCATATGGGTAACAGTAAATCCACATCTCATACTAAGCCATATTCAACTTTAAGAAATTTTATTAATTATGTTTAATTTAAGTATTAAGTAGGTAATAACACAAATCTGCAAGGTTTTGTTGTCAGTCAGCTGAGAGTAATTTCCGAAGTAATTTTCTGCGTAGAATCATAATCTCAGGATTGGACCATCACGTCACGATTTTGAGATATCTTAGGTTGTGTACAAGAAAAATGACATTTTTGGTTACTTTTGAAGTTATGTAAGGGATTTACAACATTTTTTGAGGAGAGGAGCGGCTTCTCTCGTCACCGCGACCTGTAGGATCTATTGTAACTTAAGTTCTTCAAAGGTTTAGGCCAAATGTAGGTCCTTGATGAACTTTAGTATTGCTCCTAGGTCTTGTTCCTTTATGTCGATTGGTGTCGGGCAAACTTTACGGAAAATTTTGTGTCTTAGGCGGCCTCTGGCGAAGCATTTACCAGCATATGTTCAGCAGTCTCTGATTCGTCGTTCCAAAGTTGACAAGTTTGATCCTCAGCTTCTCCAATGTGGAAGAGGTGATATTTTATGGACACCTGGAAGTTCTTTCCTGCGTAAGGCTACCTTTCAGACCTCCCAACTATTGATTACAATAAAGGGCGTCCTCGCTGCCTAACATCATTGCCCCTAGCGAGTTCTCTCAGGTTGCCGCTATGTTCTCTGATCAGTGCGATTCACACGTGTAGGCCTGAATTGCCTTTAGGGCGCTATAACAGTACTGTACTATTTTTCCATCATAAGTTATCCCTTGCAGTTGAACACTCAACGCGGGATAAGTATGAGTACCAGCCGCCGGCGATGCCGGATGATTTTGAAAATGTGATGATTTCGGATGAAAGAGATGCCTGAACTAGCTTCAATATATAGGTAATAATAAAGCTGCTAATTATAAGGTGTTAATCGCTGTGATGCTAAGCAGCTTCAAAAAATTAGGTTGTAACATAAGCGTGAAGTTGCACTATTTGTACTCTCATTTACATTGGTTTCCTGATAATTTAGGTGATGTTAGCGAAGAGCAATGAGAGCGTTTCCATCAGGATATAAATGAAATGGAAAGACGGTGTCAAGGAAAATGGTCCACATCTATGCAACCGACTATCGCTGGTCACTTCAACGTGATGAGCCACATGTTGAACACAAGAGGCGATCTGGCACAAGATCTATGGAACACAAGCAAAAAAAGATTCCATAAAAGTTATATACAAAACAAAATTCGGACTGACAGTGCGTATCCATATGCTGGGTTCCAACTCATTACGTCATTTTAAAATTGCCATAACTTATAATGGAAAAATGGTACAGCATGAAACAGATAGAATACAGCAAAATAATATTGTGCCTCTCACACATAACTTTAAAAGTAGTCAAAAAGCCAGCTTTTGTACATAACCTCAAATATCTGAAAATTTTGATATGATGGTCCAGTTCTGAGCTCGGATTCTGATTCTACACAGAAAATTACGTCGGACACAAGGAGTGTTATTTTAAATATTAAATTTAATATTGTTATTACCGTTTCACCAATACAATATGTAATTATATTTAATTACATTCTGCTGATTTTTTATATGTTTTATCTCTTGACTGACTACAACCATTTTATTTGTTTCCTATCAGAAGAATGTTTTGATTGACAACATTTTTTTGTTCATACATTTTTAAATTGTGGTATATGTGGATTATTTGAAAATATATTAGTACTATAAGAAAATTTCGTTGTTTTGTATTCTTATAAGCCTTATAACCTTATAACAACTCAAAACATTTTTATGTCAATTTTGAAGCAATATTGCTATAGTTCTTCTAATATAACTGCTGAAAATTTCGAGATTTTAACGCGACTTTTAAAGTAAGTATGAATATAATCACAAAAATCTTCATTCTTGGTGATTTTGGAGAGTTTTCGATTTAATCATACAGAACATTTTCATCTCAATTCTTACAATATTTTTCAAGTTTTTATTGGATTCTACATACTTTTGCGAATAATTGCTGAAAATTTAATTCTTTTACTCCCAATACTTTCATTGAAAATAAATCTGTATTTTATGTGTCTTTAAATACTAATATAAACATATTCTTAATACTGTTACAGTACTTAAATATAGTGAGTAATTACAGTCGTGGCAAAATCATAACGATTATTATCCACGTACTTAGAATGTAGAAGTTCGTTGAAGTTAATGCATAATCGTGTTACTGAAGTTTCTACTCGGCCCCAAAACTACTTACCACGTATGTTCGTTTGTGGGTAGAGCACACATAGAGTTCCACACGGATCGTTGGCATTTGTAAAGCACAGGAACTCCAATTAGGGCTGCCCATTATGTCGCACGTTGAGAGAGTATCGTGCAATTGCGGCTTGTGTGCGCTATTTATGCGCCAACCACTCATGCACGTGATTATCAACTTTGAAAGCTTAAAGCTTAAAGGTTGAGTGAGTTTTAACTATTCTTTACCGCAACAGGTAATGAAAAATTATAAATGATTTTAACTAGATTTGTGATAACCTTGATTTTTTTTGTTGTTATATATTTATCAACGAAAGATTGTGTATTTATTTGTCTACTTTACATAAATTAGTTACGATTAAATTAAAAAACGGAAATGATTGTTATTTAATGTATTCATTTTAACACATGCAATATAATCGTTAATTGTTCATGATATTAATTCTAGAAACTAAAAGTATTTTAAATATTTTTATTTAAAAATGTTATCTTTATATTTCTTTGGGTTTGTTTAATTCTGACTATTAAATTTTATAGATCATAAAACGTTTCCATAAATAGAAAGTCATAAAGTTACATGCAAGTCTCATGCAATACGACGTAAACACTTACCCTTTTCGCACAAAACAATAACGAGTAACAAAAGTAGCGTCCAATTTTTACATAACATAGTTATTCGTTACGAAGCAACTAAATATCTCTCGATTACATCCCTATCGCCTTTTTTACTCTATCGATGTTCCGAAACGAATGCCGACAATGTTTTCGATCATGTTCTTTTATCCGTCGCTCCGTGGGGCATTTAATTTCTAAGCGGCGTCGTAAGCGTCAATTGGCGTCGATTGAAAAAGCTTTTGTCTAGTAGCCGAGATTTGTATATGAAAGCTTAACCAACAGGAGATGATTGCTACAGCTATCCCTCTCCGCTCACAATTTAGGTATATTTCACTACGTACTCCGACGTGTTCTACATCTGGATGCGAAACGCAGCAGCCGACAGAGTAACAGTAACAGCAGCAGTAGCAGCAGGGGAACCTTTTTCCCGAAACAGTCAGTGGGGGTGAGTTGGTGCTCAGTTGACCTGCGCCGGATTTTCAACAGAACGGCGTCGCGACGCTGGCGCTGACGCTCGCGGTTCGCCTCGCCCTTTGAGAAGAAGAAAACGAACGGAAGACGAATACGCGACAACGACGTTGGCCCAGAAATGGTAATTGTAATCTATAAATTTTCTGTCCTGACAGTCCCTTTATGTCTCAATTGGTTGCTCTATGGGTTACGGTGACAATTGGTTATAAATGCCGATGACTGCGGCACATTCTCTCTTACGATTTAAAGGAGTTTAAAATGCGTGTCATGGCCGAGTGGTCACTTTAGAAGTGTGCATCAATAAACTATTAACTAACATTAATTAATTAAAAAAATTACCAATTAAACTTACTCAAATATACGACATGAGATGAGCATAATAAATGATACAAAATTAATCAATTATTCATAGCATGTCTGTCTCTTTAAAATCTTGAGAATTTATATTATTCTCCTTCTGTTCTTGAAGGCATCGAGAAGGCGGACTAAATCCAACTTAATCCACAGATTTGCTGTGAGGAAATTTATTCCATCCATCATGAAATATTTTTGGAAATGTACACCGTAAAATTTTCGTTTCATAATAATTCTTAATAACAGTAAAATTCCTAATCATACTCAAATTATATAAGAGATACGTAATTATTAATTCCACACGTATCCCCACGATTATTAATCTCATAGAGTGAGAAAGATGTAGTGTGATAAATGCGAAAAGGGTGGCGACTGCTAAATAACGAGCGATTATTTCCACATCAAGTTTTAAACCGTGGAAGAGAATTAATTAGAGTAAACGATTAGTTAAAGAAAGACAATTTATAATTCGAGAAGATTTCGTCAAAAAACGCTCTGGTTTTTGTAAAGGTATCTTAAAATTGAAATCCTTGAAAATTGGGAAAAGTGTCTCAATGGTATATGGGTTAAGTTTGATTAATTTACTATTTTTGTTTTAATCATGTTTGGATTATTGCATGTAATTATTTTTGATACATCCGGAAACTCTGTTGAAACTAAAGACTTGTAGTACTGAAATGAATGTTGGCTGCAAATATTATTCAAATCATACACAACCAGTGTTGTTAAATACCCGGGTATTTATTTTCAAGGTAAAATTCCCTGGATATATACCCGGGGGTATTTACCCAAGATGGATATTTAGAGGTATTTATAAAATTTGATTTAAATTGAGTTGATGGCAGTTTTGCAAGTACTTCAAGAATGCAGAGGATACACCAAACTTATTTATTACATTTACAAGAATGCTACAATGACGGTAAAATTGCATGAAAGTACTGACCGAATACCCATTGGGCGTGGGGTAAGACAAGGCGATATAATGTTGAACCCAAAGTGTTCATCACAGTCCTGGAGAATGCATTTAACCAACTGGATTGGACCCAAAAAGGTATAAACATTGATGGCAATACCTAAGTAATTTGCGCTACACGGACGATATAGTCCTTATTTCGGATAGCCTTGGAGAGATGAAACTGATGCTGAACGTATACAGGAGGCGTGTGCAAGAGTCGGGCTAAATATCAACAAAATTTAGGAAAAATCTTGTTCCAAGCTCTAACATCAATCAATATTGGTGATAATGAATACTTCTAACTTGAATACTTTCGATGGTATGTCGTTAATCATTGATGCCTTTCCATGTTTTGATGCAGTCATTGCGTTTTGAACCTCACTGATTGATATAGGTTTCATGACACTATCCTTTCTTTGGTGTGACGGACTGCTGTCTATTTCCAAATCAGTTTTTATGCTTAATAGGTTTTGGAAATAATTTTTCCAAATGTCATTCAGTTCACTATCACATATTATTTTTCCTGTTCCATCTTAGCATAGAGCTGCGTGCGATGTGTGTCTTTGTCTTAACTGTCTAACAAATTTATACACATTCCTGGTGATATTAGCTTTAAAGTGTACATATATTTCGGGAAAGTTTATATTTTCTCTACCGACCATTCTCGTTTACGTAATACTCTTCGAAAATATTTAACGATTTATTTAATGCTCGAAAAAAACTTTGAATGTCCTGAATTGAGTATAAGTCTAATATTAATGACTAAAATCAGTTTTTGTGCTTCATTAATTCTTGTTGTTTGATTCTTTTCTAGTCATATTGCACTTCTATCAAATCCACGATTAAAAGATCCATGAGATTGTTGATTTCCAATTGAAAATAAGCAGTTCGTTTAAGATCTTATTATTCTTCTTCTTTTATTCAGGTTGTAACCTCATTAAAGCTGGAAATCCAATTTCCTGGTCTTCCGGGATCTCTTTCTAGCTAATCTTTGGCCTCTTGCTGTCTTAATCAGCCAGGTTTCTTCCATTCTTTGGAAGTATTAATTACATTTTTTTATTTTTCCTCTAGCAAATCTCATGACATCTCCGAATCCACAAAATTCTCTTACAATTTTGTTCCTAACTATCTCTTCTTGTTTTTTCCACTATTGTTCTTAAAGTACTCATCTCAGTTAATTCGCATCGCAACCATATATCTTGGCCATGAGGTTCGAGTATCGAGAGATAATAATCAAACAAGCGAACTAAACAGAAGGATGATACTCGCATGGGCAGCCTATTACAGGAAACTTAGAGACATCTTCATGAGCGATATTCCTGTATGTTTAAAAAGAAAGACTTTCAATCAATGCGTGCTTCCTCCTTTCGTTATGACATACGGTTCCGAAACTTTAACATTAACATAACTTTACATACGAAATGAAGACCTACGAAAAAGAACTAGTGTAAATGATGCGGTCAACATTATGGCAAAGTTCAAGTAGAACTGGGCGGATCATCGTCGCAAGAATGAAGCATGAGCAGTGGTTACCTGATTATACACGTCTTCGATCGTTGACAATTCCTCGTCTTCAACGCCCATTTCATCATGTTCCTCTACTTTTTTGTCCGAATCTGTTATATTTTTAGTTGTATCACTTTTATATGTACTGTTTGGGTATTTAATGTTATCAATAACAACAAAATCTTCTGCGGTTAATGTAGGTACATAGTCCTGCGGTGATATCAGATTTGAGTCATCTAATTAATTCTTGTTTTGAAAGGTGTATTTTAATTTGTTTGCTAAAAGCTGCCTTGGTAACCCTAAGAAATTTTGCTCCAAGTATCAGGGTTGTTAATTTTACTGGATTATAGCTTATGATAAATTACTAGCAATTGAAGTATGTTTGCGGTTATGTCGCTTTAAGTTATGGACGCAGATTTAAACATTTTAATCAACATTGTAGCTAAGTAAAAAGGGACCATTTTGGCGTTTATACTGTTTTAGTTTGGCAACGTCGGTATGTAAGAAGGTGGACATTAGGAACAATATCGTCGGTGGAGATTGCACTAATTTGAACCGAAATAACATTACAATTCTGTGAGGTTGCTCCATAAGGGTTGAGAGGGTCGACATTGAATATTTCAAAGTGAAAGTGAGTACTGCCACTTACATCTCTATGGTGATTTTATTTTTACTCTACATATAAAACTTGTTTGTTACTAAAATGCAGTTACTTAATGAGAGAGGGGATAAACCTCGATCTGTACAGAAGAAACCATCATGAATTGTCGGCACCCCAGATCGGATCGCTATTTCTAGAAGAAATACAGTTTCTTCTGCAAAAAGAACATGGAGTCCGTAGACTTCTGCAACTGTGATGAAGAATGACGATGGGTCTTCGAATAATACTGCTATGATTACCACTGCTAAAGACTATGATCTGAATAAAATATCAACGAAGACTTCAATGAAGACCACAAGCAGCAATTTACCGAAGAAAAAAAAACGATAATGTGATCACATCTCTGTAGAATGACTTTCTTAGCTACAAGAGGAAATAATTCCTGCAAATTTTTAACCAGGCTAAGAAATGATAACAGATGGATGGAAACAACATAAATTGATTTGCAAGCTATAATAAAAGAATTTGTAATGCTAAAAAAAAATCAGAGACGTGGTTTCGTGAAGTAATGAAAGATATTATTTCTATGATCAATTAGCATCGTTTCCAGGTATCCTAACGATAGGAAATTATGTTGCTAAGGGCCGGTTGTACAATATAAGAGTTTAGTCCGGCAAAATAAATAAAATAAACCGTCACTAACAAAAAGGTCAATGTGTGACGAGAAGGTCGAGTTCGATTCTGCGTCAGTGAAGTGATTGCAACATCCAATTCAATCAATTCGCCCGGACAATGTAATATCTTTTTTGGGTGGTTGGTGCGCTAACTATAACCTATTGCAACGTTGCTGCTACTTGGAGTAATATATTTCTTTCATGTTTAGATGTCTCACTATCATATTTCCCTAGCTTAAATTTTTCTTTTAGATCTTTAAATTCAACTTCTAAGATTTCTAATTTAATTATCTTACGATTAATCACTGAAATATCCTTACACGCAGTATTACACGCAGTTCTTCAAGAAGATGCCGAAAACTCGTCACAATCACTTCCGACATTCAATAGACATAATCGCGCACATCTCTTGCTTGGTGTGGAGAATTTAATTTATAAGTCTTGGCTTCGGCTAAGATGACGCTTCAATCTTCCTTCCATAGCCCTTTCTCTCGCTCGTACCAAATATATCACCGCTTCACAGCAGCAGCACATAAATATTAAAACAACACCAATAAATGCGATTATACCGAAAATTTCGGATATATGACCCGTTGAAACATCAGATGTTTGACCACCACTATTTCCGGATTGCTTTCCCATATTTTCTTTCCTCTTTCTTTTTTTTTTTATTTTTTTTTTTCTTATACTATACTGTGTTTCACTATGAACACAACTGACAGGGTCGCCATGTGATATCGTTGAAGGGATTTTAGGTTTTTTAAATAAAAGAGTTTCTTCCCAACTACATGTGAATGTATTTTACCCAAAGGTTCGTACAATTCTGATGCTTACAAAAGCGTAATCAATTTTTAAAGTATTACAGCAATAATGTTTACCACGGTAATACGGTTCAACGGACGATGACCTGATACTTATTAATTAAGTTGCTGAGCCTAC